GATAATTAGTCAGAACCTATTGCTTATCATGTATTATAGTAAAAAAATTCACATAATTATTTCAACGTCATAGGATAGCAAATGCGGCCTTGAGTGGAAATAAGGGGGGGGGAGCATACATCGTTCACGTCCGCCGGCTACGCGTCACTGAAGCGCGAATTGGTTGACGTACAGACGGTGCCAGCCAATCCAAGACAATGCAAACAGAAGCAAGATTATGCAAGCAGTACTGTAATCCAATTGGTGGAAGCCCAGATAATCTCCCTTTGTACATATTATTTAATCAACTTCATTTCTTCCAATAAACGAACTACTTACTGCTAGTCCTGTGGCCTTTTCTTCGTGTCTCGTTCTCGTGGGACCTTGCGAATCCTTGACATTGTGGTCCAGTGCTTCTGTGATTCAGTCCGTGATAGCTGATTATTGATTCGGGTCCTGTAATTCATACTGCGTGTTTGGTGTTCCGAATTCCGTGCGTACTACTACTGCTAATGCAATCATTACAGAAGACCTTCACAATTGCAAACTAATTTGGTCAAAAGGAACCCATTGGACAATCGAATACGCAGTGTTGGAAGCACGGAACATTCGCCTACAACACAACCAAGTGGACACATGATTGGCAAGAGCCACATTTCGTCCTGAGAAACTGAACTTAACTGAATTTCCTTCATACATGTTATTTAATTCGCTTAATTTCTTCCAATAAAATGACCACTACTTCTATGGTCTTTTCCTTGCCTTTCAGTTACGTGAGGTATCGGTGTGCAAGTGCTATTGCCATTCAGTGTTTCCGTAGGGTTCATGATCCTCGATCCATGATTCGTTATTCCAAATTCGTAATTCGTGACCTGTGATCTGGGCTTACTTCAAATACTACAAGTGATGAAGATCAGTGCAACCTTGGAACAAGAGAAATGTCGCTCGATAAAGAACGCATAAAGAATGCTGGGCCAAATGTAACTTAACGAGTGGCTGGAGAATATGGATGGGGTGTCAATTCTGTTCGACCTGGTGGTGCTAAAAGTTTTAGTGATTAGACTGTAACACTTTCTAACGCTTTTTCGTCGTGATATCACAGATTTAGGAAGGGAATTTAGGTTGATGAAGCTCACTGGCCCACTAGATGATCACACTCAGCAACTTTATCTACCGGGAATAGCGACGCAATCTCCGCAACAATGTGTCAATTGAAGCCTACACTTACGCAGCAGTCCTGTTTTTTTCAGATACTCCACAGAATCGTGAAAAATTAGGGATTCTGGCCATTTTCTGGCAATTTTATTAGGTTAGGTCAGGTCACAGGACTTGTGGCTCGAGCCAGTATGTGTCCAGGTTCTTGCACTCCGAACTCCATGTTCTCGTGATGCTTCGACTGCCAAGCGTCCTTTGACCCAGCTTATCTGCATTAGCTGGATGCGGATACGATTCATCCCGTTCACTGATATTCAATGCATGCATTAATATATATATGTATATATATATATATATTAGAAATTGTGGCCCTGTAACCATAGTTCGATCTTATTATAAACCCCTGAAACAATGGTCAGTGGCGTAACCCTAGCCTTTGCAAATAGTAGACCACCTCGCCGAGCACCATCTGGCCGCTACCGCATATCCTACCTGAGAAGCGTTCACGAATACCTGTAACTGGTATACCTCACCTCGGGTTATTTGTGGAATGAGACGGGTAATCGATATTTCACCCAACTTGGATATTCCACTTCACCGAACTTTGTGGTCTATCTCATGGAGAACCTCGTCCCAAGTCAGCTTCTTTCTGTATAGATCATGGAGGGGAATCTTCTCCGGTAATTGCCATGGCGCAATGAACTTCAAAGTATTATACAACCGGAATGGTGAGCGCAGAACCCGTCCGCAAGCTGCTGTCCTTTTAGTGAGTTGAAGCTTGAACGGAAACTCTTCCTTCCGGGCGTCCTGTAGTGACCATGATTGTGCGAAGAAAAGGAGCAATCCAGGAGGACGTTTTCCGTTCATATTTTCTTCACAATCAACTCTGACTCCAACTGTGGTATTTCTTTGTTTTACTTCTGTTTGTTTTACCGAGCACGGTTTTCCGCTCAGGCGTATATATAATCTGGGTCCTGTTCAAACCCACGCTACACGTGTGACACGCTTTCGCTTTGCTACTGCATTTATTGCTTGCATTGTTTAGCGTCACCTTGGCACGCTTCGG